TAAAACTTATATTGGATATGTAATCTGAAAATAACTACATAAACACAAATTTTAAACACAACAGCCACTTACAAGCATATGAGCTGCCTCTTCAAGTATAATTTCCAACGCTACCCTTAAAAAATCTCCCCAACTAAAAGAGTGGTGGTAGTGAGTGCTGCGCTATCCAGGCAGTCATACGTGGATAGGAGCCCACAGGCAGCTGCAGGCAGGCACCTAAAGGTTCACATGTGGAGTCGGACAACAACGAGCAGGGACAGTGTCAGGCTTGGTTCTGTGCCCGACTTGACTGTTCCGTCAAGTAAGGGAGGAGGGGTGGGTGCTTGACAGAAGCAGTTTACAAATGTAGGTAAATGTAGACGTTTACCAACCCCATAAAATACACCATAATGCAGGAAATCATATCTACTTTATTCAAAATTTTCTGGAGGAGGCGGGGTACACCCTGGACATGTCTTCAGTCAATCACAGCGACACATAGAGACAAATGAGACAAACAACCATTCACGCTCTCACTCACACCTGGGGACAATTTAGAGTTACCAATCAGACTAACATGCATGTTTTTGGTCTGTGGGAGGAAACCAGAATACCCAGAGAAAACCCATTCAGCACAAAGAGAACATGCAAACTCAACTTAGAAAGGCCCCCAATGGGAATGTAATTTAGTAACCTTCTCATAAGAGGTGATGGCTCTACCGATGGCACCACCACCTGCACACACTGCCCATAATGAAACCTATGTGGTGGAAAACCCACTATGGAGGGGCTAATCACGTAAGGCCAAGAAAACAAACAAACAAACAAAAAAAATTAAATTTGAAGCTAGATTTTAATTTGAGTCTCTTGAGTGTTGCTGCTTTCTCATCCAGCTGAGCTAACATCTGTGGGACCCCAGCAAGCTCAACAGAGTCTAAGTCAAATCTGAAAACATGTCATGAGTGAGCAGATTTAGTTTTTTTTTTAATCAGCTTGCATTTGATCAAAGATGCCAATGCATAAGCAGGTAAGCACCATTATTACAAATTTTAAAGGTTTTGTCTTGTATCTTGTGCGGCTTTGACATATAATATGATGATCATACACCAAAATATGTAGCTTGATTGGGAAGAGTGTGCACGTCAAACAATGTAGACAAACAATGTTAAAATAAAATGCGAGAAAAAAAAAGATCAATTAGATTTCGGTGCATCACATGAGAAAATGAGCCCTATGTAGGGCTCTACAGCTCAGTCATATTTCACAGAAGAAACATCATACAAAGTTTAAACGTGTCACAGAAAGTTGGACTTTACATGACCTGACTGGCTATTGATTTTACAATATGAACATCACAGTGTTTGATGATTTTTTTTTTTTTTTAAAGATTTTATCATGGAATGCTGTTGATGTTGTCACATTAACATTTGAATTGTCTACAATTTCCATACATTTGAATTTAAACAATTCTTACTCACACATCTTTTTTTGTTACATTTACAACTTTTACATTAAAACATGGACACTGTTGTTTTCTTTCACCCAGTGTGTCTCTCACTGCTATAAGAATTGTTTTGTTTTTCAATGAAATCCCTACAGAATCCAGAGAGTGCATGCCTATGCCACAGCATATTTAGGAAAATTTTAACTCAAATTATTTGCATCAAAACTGGAAGTGATGGGTCTATTTAACTTCTCATATGTGACCTATCTAACCAAATCAGAATTTGGTTCTGTTTGATCAAACTACACAAAGCACATTTTCAGATTTCTTGCTTATTACGCTACATTGTAATACTTAGGTCTGTCTGATGTCATGAGTGATTTTGAGATATGGATTGATTTGTCTTATAAACAGGACACATTTTTAAACCTTTGAGAAAACAGGATTTGACTAAATTAATAATACTAATAAAAATGTATGGGTTCGTCATAACAGATGTTGTTGTCTGTTGCCCGGGCAAACAAGGCTGTGTGGTAAAGAGGTAAAAAGAGAATCCAGGTAAGATGGAGTGGATGGAGAAAAGTTTCAGGAGTGATATGTGACAAAAGGGTATCAGTAAAGGTCAAGGGAAAAGTTTACAAGACAGTGGTGAGACCAGCTATGTTGTGTGGTCTGGAGACAGTGGCATTGACATAAAGACAAGAGAAAGAACTGGAAGTGGTGGAAATACATTCAGTTCATTCAACCTTTATTTAATCAAATTGAGCCTTGAAGACTAATTTACAAGTGAGACCTGTTTAGACAGACATAAAGTAGTGAAAGTGAACACAAGTAAGATCTGGAAGCAAAAAATAATAATAATTCCAAACAAACTCTTTCTTCATGGCTGAGAAGAAAGACCGTGATATTGGAGAAAAAAAATCATCCCGCACATAGAAGCACATGGTGACGTAGACATTTCGCAAGGGTGGGAGATGAAAAGGGCAGTGAGAGTGTCCAAGGACACTCCCAGAGGCACTGTAGGAGTTCTGATAGGGATGGAATAAGCATCAGTTCCCTCTGGTGAGATCCGTAAACATTCTCAAAAGCAGTTTCACAGACAGGACAGAGCAGCCAAGCAAAGTGGAGGAGGAAGAGGAGGGGAAAAGTGTCCGCCCTTGACAAGAGCAAGTGGTGAATGGAAATGAAGATGTTGAGGTTCGCCTTAGGAGTGACAAGGATGGAGATGATTAGGAATGAGATCATCAGAGGTACAGCACAGATTGAACAATAACGTTAAAGAGGCCAGACTGAGATGGTGTGGACATGTCCAGAGGAGGGACAGTGGGTATATTGGTAGAAGGATGTTAGGAATGTAGCTGCCAGGAAAAAGACAAAGAGGAGATATATAGATGCAGTTAGAGAGGACATGGAGGTAGGTGGAGTGAGGACAGAGGTTGCAGAGGACAGAGTGAGGAGGAGGATAGCTTGCTTTGAAAACCCAAAAAGGGAACAACCAAAGAAGAAGTGGAAGAGGTTGGCCAAGACAAATCAAAGCCACATCTCTGGAACTACTCGTGACCTGGGTATCAAAATGTAACTTAACAAGCAAGGAATCTGAAAATGTGCTTAGCTTAGTTTGACCAAATCTGACTTAATCCCTGATTTACTTTTATGAGTCACAAATCATTGAAAAGAAAAAGCAGTGTAAAATCTTTGGGATTATCATGACTTCAGTCACTAATGATTCAATAATATCAAAGTCTGACTCGTAAGTTTTGCATTAAAACTGTTTGTTTTTAATGTTTACTTTGCTTTTTCCCTGTCTCTCATTAACTTGGCAGTCAGGGAGTGACAGACACATGTATGATTACTATAGTGATCATGATGAGCCACTGGCAGTGACATTATCATCTCTTTTGAACATTGTTCTTTTGACATTGTATGTACAACTCATACAGATTTTTTTTTTAACTTAGATTGTTAGAAAAATATGTTGGTATTCTGAACAGCAGCTGCATCAGCGTTCTTCAAACTTTTTTCAGTAATTTTCCAGGTAATATATCTAAATATTTTGCATGCTGAATGGAATGAGATGAAGGTCACAGTGCTACAGTTGAATGTAGATCAAAGCTCATTATACCTTCAGCAGTACATTTAGTATTTGTCTCTGTGAAGAAGCTGGTTGTAAGGTAGGAGGAAACATATACGTGTTAGAATCTGAATCCATTTAAAATTACACAAAAACACATGAACATACATTAAAATTACTTGAACTGTAAGAATGACAATTACTGTATATGAAATACAAATGTAAAAAAACAACCAAATGTTCAATGTGATTTTGAAACAGTTTAGTCAACACTAAGGTTGGTTTTGAATAACACAGACAGTCATGTACACTGTCCCTAAATCCCCAGTTTGTAGCTGATGTTGTGTTAATTTCTGTTTCCTCGATAAGATAAACTCTTAACAGCTCAACAGAACATCAGCAAAAACACAGTTTCATTTAGATGTCAATGTTTCTGTAAACCAATGCACAAAGTTAACTAAGCAGATGGAACACATTTTCTCCGACTGCATTTCATATCTACAGCTGGCACTTGGGCTCTGTACAGCTTTACCAGTCAGGTCTTCTTGGATTTGATGTTTACAGACTACTGTGATATTAGCTCAACAGTCAGAGCGTCTTATAATGTAAAGAGCTGTTGAGCATAAATCACACAAACCAAAAGTTTTAGCCAGAGAACAATTTAGCTGTTGATGGGAAAAAATAATAATTTTTTCACTCTAAAGAAAGTAAAGGCTGAGACTGAATGGAAAAAGGAGTGGTGTATGAAAGCATTGCAGTAGCAAGTTAAGCTCTTTGTGAAGGTGGAAACAATTTCAGTTCACCTCTCAAATGTAAATCAAATACGTATTTGTTTTCCCAATCAGATATCTGACCCCATACGTGGTAAATGCACCCATGAAGTGGCAACATTTCTTCTTTTGTCTGGTGTCAATTGAATACTGCACAATAGACGTAAAGAGCTTATTGTTGTAAACCTCTGCCTGCTGTGTTCGAAACAATTGTGATCGAGCTCCAGTGTTATACGTATTACGGTCTGGGAGCCAACCCCAAAAAAAACAACTGTTGGCTTTAACCACAGCTGCCATGCAACTGCAAATGAAACTGGCAATTTAAATTGGCACACGTTTAAACTTAGAATCTTGAATTTATCTAAAGGTGACTACTTTCATAATGTTAGGTGGTGTTATTCTCTGGTTTATTCATTAATCTTTTTTTCTTTCATAAATTTGTCCCTAGAGATTGATCCTAAAAACAGAATAATTGCTGTAAAAACATTAAATTATAGTTCAGATGCTTTCTGTTTTGTGCAGAATATTAAAAGCCTACAAGGTATGGCATAACTTTTTAATGACTCTTACTGACTTCTGGCAAATTATCTATTAATAAAAACATATTTACAAGAGAAAACACATTGGTTAGAATAAATTGGACATCTCTGTGTACTTTAATTAAAAACTTGCCTGAATTCATAATGTAGCTTTCCAAATCTGTGATATCCACTTAAGGTGCAAAGTTTGCTTCCAATCAAGCATTCACACCTCCGTCAGGCAGGGAGGGCTCCACATACTGCACTTTTTTGGCACTTGGCATAATGCTGGCAGGTAGGTATTGGTCACACGGTGAGTGCAGCTCATCCAGTTCCGTGGTAAAGTGGTCGGGACTCTCCCCATTGGATGTCTCTTTGATTACACTGTAAGTGAGTGCCACACTATACGTGGCTGGTTTCTCTATGCGCTGAGGGCCACAGTGACACAGCTTCTTGAAGGCAATGCGGAACTTCTGGGACATGGCATTGTAGATCACAGGGTTGATAGCACTGTTCAGATAGATGCAGAGACGGCAGAAGAGCAGAAACCAGCTGTCCAGGTAAGCTTTGTCTAAGAAAGAGTTGACCACCACTAAGGTCCGGTAGGGCATCCACAGTAAAGCGAACAGGATCACCACCACAGCTAGCATCTTCGTCACCTGATGAAAAAGGATTCAAATGTTAAAAGGTACCAGTGATCACCAAAAAAAAATCAAAATCAAAACAGTGATTTCATTAAGAACACCTAACAGTCCCCCAGTGAGGTATTGAATGAGATAGAATGGTCTTTGCAGGATCTTAGTGAGGTAGAAAGAAATTAAGGTCACAGCATACTCCATCCAAAGCCGAACAGTCAACGTGCGGTCATGTGGTTGTGGGATGTTCATTTTTGCACACATTTTTCATAGTGCGTAGGGTGGCTGTGGCTGAGTAGTTACAGTAGTCGTCCTCCAATATGAGAGTCGGAGGCTCGATTCCATCAGCAGTCACATGCCAAAGTGTCCCTGGGCAAGACACTGAACCCCTAAATGCCTCCAACATGTGTCCCATCAATGTATGAGTGTGATAACACTCAGATTATTCTTTGTATAGATTGTAGAGTGCTGTATGAACGAGTAAATGAGGGCACAGATTGTGATGTAAAGCTCTTTGAGTATCTTGATCAGATAGAAAAGCGCTATATAAGTGCAGTCCATTTACCATAGTCCACGAGACACAGACACGGAGCTCCTGGGTAACCCCTCCCGCTGTAGTAATGCATACGTCACCACATAAGATTCTTCCCACCAGAGTCTCCACTCCATCCATGCACACACTGTTTGGCCACAAATCTATCACAAAGAAAGTCCACACTTTCCAGAAGTCAGACTCCTCCATAAACTATGTTCAAGTTTCTTTATTGTCATTAGCATCACATGTGGTACATGACGTGGAACAAAATTGTGTATTCAAGGTCTCAATTACACCCAAAAATGGCAAAAATATAAAGAATAAAAAGAAACTGTATATAAGGATCTAAGCTATATACTAAGATTTACACTAAATGAACACTAAATGATACGCATAAAGATCTAAGATATATGCTAAACACTAATAATGTAAAATAATATTGTATATTAAATAGCAGCCTGAACATGATGTCTGCATTATGTCCATCTTGGAGTTTTTGACCATTTGACTAATTTAATGTGTTTGCAGAGGCATACAGCTGCATGTCCGAGTGCATTTCCGCAGTGGCAAACACGCCCACAAACGTCTGTCCAATTGCACAATATTTGACACATATGCCTGAAAAAAAGTTTGGCCAAGGTTTTGAGTCAAGAAGGGGTGGGCAAAGTTGCTCCGCGAACAAAATGACAATTTCCGTCACACAACTGTGACAATGAGAGACGATTTTGGCACTTTGAATGGAGTATGTCAGGCAATTTAGTGAGTTCCCCATTAAAGATAACAAAGTGTAATGAGTGGAGGGGGTTTGAGCATGCATAAAACTTTCTTTCTGGTTGAGGTTGTGGTGGTTTATCATTGAGGTGACAACATATCCCTGACATGGATATCACATGGCATGCGTGTAGCTTCAATGCCTAAACTTCATTTAGGATTGGCCACACTGCATTCGTGCTGAGACTATGCCAGATCAAATTCACAAAAGCTTTGTGTCATGGTCTTCAAGCAAATAGTTACATCTTGAAAAGGTCCAAGAGAGTCATCCAGTGCTGAGTGCAGGGTGTGTTGCAATTAATTTGTGGAAATACTGTCAAGGGAATGTGGTGATAATCTATAGTGAAGACACAGAAGAACATTTTGGGGACGGAAAATCTAGCAGGTATGGTGAGTACTAAGATTAAAGGAGTTTCATGACTGCCTTCAAACTAAAGGTCTTCCAAACTTGTCCAACCTTGCCACATTCTAAAAGGTTGTGTAGGTGGTTCACAAAGTTGAAATCAGGACCCCATTGTGGATTGAGTAACAAGTGAGGGGTCTTAAGACAATTTACAAAAATGATCTAAAAATGTCAAGACCGTTGTTTAAGGGTGCATCTTTGCCCTAATTGTCATGATACCTGTCAAAAACAGTATTCCTAAATTGAAATAAAATACAACAATACTTCCTGAAGCTGTTTGCGTTGTTACTTTATGTGTTCAGTTTACCTCTAACGATCCTTGTATGCTTCAACCATCAAAAGACTGCCTCAAAAGATTCTGCTGCTGTTGTTTTACAAGTCAAAATTTGAAGAGTATGGGAACCGTCGGGTCATGGAGAGAGTAACATGTTCATTATTCTCTGTGAAGGAGGTGTAACAAGCTAAATATCTGATTCATACACATACACAGTATATGAGTACTGTATGTGTCAGGTTTTGTTTCGTGGCAGATCAAGACAGAAGAACCCAATTGCGCAGGCAGAACTCAGGAGGCAAATGTATAAAATAAAAATGCTTTTAATAATAACAATAATAAATCAAAAAGGCTGACATGGCAGCAAAACTTACATGGCCTCAAGAAACACGATCACAGGCAGGACAAGACAGGACATACCCAACGACGAACCGACAATGACAGAACTGACAGACAGACTTTATATACACACAACCAAGACATGACACAGGTGACGATAATCAAAACAATCAATTCAGACACAAGGGAGAACAGACAGGGGGAAGGCCCACTAGATGGTGCCATCCTGACAGTATGAAATGGTAATGAGATTTGCATCTTCAGGCATGTTAATATAAAAAGAATATTCCTGCAAGGTGCCAAAGTAGTTGTCTTAGATTAGAACATTTGTTCAAAATAGAATTTCAATATTTTTTGCATATTTTAATTAATTGTATACAAGGCTTTAAATCCAACCTGCCATCACTTATTCACACACATTCCTTTTCTAATAATGTTACATGTCTTAATGTGTGATGTGAATGTCGTTTCATCCAAGTTTTCTACCAAATTAAACCTTGTTATATGCATTAATCAACAATATTTCTTTCTTTTAGACGAAAGACATTTACAGTCTTCATCTGTGCCTGTAAATGAGTTTTCAATATTAGTTGCAAAGGTTGCATCAGACACAGATGTGTGTGTGTGTGTGTGTTTGGGGTGGGGGTGCCGTATGTAATCAACGTGTACAGTTCAATCTCATTATCATCAACATTCCTGCTCTAAACATTTCCTTTTCCACCCTCAGATAAAAAGCTGTCACCTGATGAAACTTTTTACTTTTCTTGAGAAACACTCACTTAAAAAAATAATGGCTTTGTCACAGACTCTGTCACCCCCCACCAACAGTTATGGTTTAGAAATGTGTCCACATTAGATAATAACAAAACACAAAACTGTAAAATATAAATTTAACAATGACACATATGCACAAATTCAACTCATGAAGAGTTCCCCTGTTTTTGTCAACTACTTGCGCTCTGTGTAGCAGAGTATAGTTTCATAAAAATACTCCCTAGTTTACTTCTTTTTTTTTTACAAGAACAACATGGGTTTGTGACGCGGGATGTAAAGGTTATGGATGTTTGTCACTTACTAATGTCAAATATTATAGAACCATGCGTTTGAGTTAGAGTTGTTTTATCTGAATAAACTGGAGCCTGCAGGAGCACGGAGCCTGCACACCTTATAAACTTCAAGAATCCTAAGCTGGGAAGCAGAGTTGTCTTGACCTCACCTTTTCTGATAAGCGTATAAGCTGAAGCTCCTTTATGCTGTCCGTGGGCAGACCTTGTGAGCAGGGCGGTGTATAACATCTTGTATCTAGGAGTTTCAATGGCTGTTCCCCTTGCAAGGATTAAAACCTGGGATGTACGGATCTTCTCCTTTCCTGTGTGGCTTATTTATTTAATGATTTGATGATAGGATAATTAAATTATCCAACAGTTTGTTTTGTTGCATTTTAAACAGAAATGTACACGCTCCTCTCTTACAAATATTTTGCAAATTAGGTGTAACCAAAATAAATTCTGGGCTTTGTATAAATTAATTAGTTAAACAAAGCCATGCAAAGGTTTTAAATGTCTAGAGTGTTTTGGAAAGAGGAACACTTCACTCTGGATGTTAAACATTGTGCCTCAAGATGAAACGTCAAAATGTTTGTGCAACCCAAAGTTATCTGGAGGGAAACTGTAGAGCTGCAGTCTTATTTAAAAAAGCCTGCTTATAACATGACACTAATGCATTGTGCACATTGGATTCTCAGACATTTAGAAGACTGCAGGAAAGAATATTCTTCTCTGTACACACTGCCAAGATCACCAAATTAATGATGTGTTTGACATCCAAAATGATCAAATTCAAGTACTACAAATAGCAGTATTGTATTATTTTAATGTACTATCACTAAAAATAATGTAATAAAACACAATACCATTTTATTTTTTGTTATAGTCATTAAAAAAAGAACCTGTGGGACAAGAAAAACCCTACGCCTGCAGGGAGTAGAGATGCACAGAGATGTACATGTATATCATTTTAACTAGTTTTTTTTCTTCTTCTTTCGGTTGTTCCCTTCTTCAGGGGTCACCACAGTGAACTAAGATGCATGAAGACTTGGCATTTATTTTTATACAGGATGTCCTTCCTGACACAACCACAGACCACCAAGCTACCACAACCCTTTGTGTGGAGCAGAGAGATGCTATCTGGGATACCTGGGGGAACAGATGAGGGGTTGAGGGCTTTGCTCAGGGGCCCAGAGTGGGGAAAATGAGTTTTTTCATTTTTTCATTTAGCCTTTATTTATACAGGTAGTCTCATTGAGCCACGAGAACTCATTTTCAAGAGAGACCTGTTTAAGGAGCAGATGGTGGGGGTTAAAGGCCTTGCTCAGGGGCCCAGATTGGGGCGAATGAGGGTGGAGGGAGGTGTTGGTGTTCTACCTTTTCCACCCACATTTTGATGTTGACGGTACCGGGAGGTGAACCTGCGACTTTCCGATCACAAGCCCATCTTCTAACCTCTGTGCCACCACTCACCCCGAGTTAACCAGTATATGTTTACTTAAAGATTTCTGTTCAATACCTGTGCACCTAAAGTCTACTTCATCATTTGTATGTTTTTTTCCTTCACACTTCCCTTCTCTACAATGACATTAAACTTCCATTGATTTTTGTATAGGTATTACCAAAAAGCTGAAATTTTTGCTTGATGATTATAAA